CTCTCTCTCTCTCTCTCTCTCTCTCTCTCTCTCTCTCTCTCTCTCTCTCTCTCTCTCTCTCACACCCCCGATACCACACACTCATCTCATCCCCGTGAAATGCCGACCATTTTACCACCCTCTTTATCGTTTTCCTTCACTTCATGTTACGTCCAGACAGTCTCAAGGGGCTTAATCGTGCCACGCCTCATGTCTTCTGACTGGAAAAAACATGGCGGCTTGACTCTCTAGTTAACTGACAGGTCATTGAAATTAGTGGAGGATTGTGGAGTCGTAGTCGGCGGTGGAGAAGGAGGGGATATTTTTCTTTTTCGAATGTCGAAGTTGCAATTGTTGAGCGGAGGATGAACGTGATGACGGAGGTTTCTGGCAGGTCACTGAATTTGGAGGAGGGTTTTTGAGGAATTATGACGAATATTTGGGAATAAAGAGAAAAAGTGGAGGAGAACGGCCCTTTATTGTTCGTTTGGATCGCATGAAGCGCTTCAACTTTCAGGGTACACGGAGAGAAATGTCCAGTAAAAATTACGGAACGCTCCGGAAAAATTCCGTGATTTTAGGTGGAAATTACGTGACAGTTCCGTAAAATTTGCTACAACCACATTTCGCTCCGGAATTACGGAAACGATACGTAATTTTTATTGAATATTTTTTTCTGTGTAGTTATCAGACGTTCAGAAAATTGCAGGTACATTTCTTGGAAATTTCTTCGATTGGAAATTCCAGGGATATTTCCGGGGATTTCAATGGAAAATTTACAATTCAGTAGCGAAGCGGTAAACCGGGTCAAGTCGATTTTGACTTTTGACGAGTTTTTAATGAATATTTCGGAATCGAAGAGAGATAGCAACATTTTTCTCACGACCTTTTTTATAACTCTCAATTAGCTCTACAAAAAAGGTCATAGCAAAAATTTTCCTATCTTTTTTAGATTCTGAGATATTCGTCAAAAACTGGCCAATAGTCAAAATCGACTTAACTCGGTTTACCGCTTCGCTACTGAATTGCAGGCAAAAATCAATTGAAATTGTGAATTTGAGTTAAATTATTCTATGAAAATTAATAGAAATTAGACAAACTCAGGTGAATATAGTCTTGACGCTTCAATTATTATTATTTAAGAATTCAGCATAAAAGTGAATTGAAATGAACTCATTGAAAATTCGTGCTACTAAGAAATTTAGAGTTCCATTCAGTTTTCAGTAAAATTTGAAATTTCTTCATTTTCTTCCTTAAATGGAATTCAATATCACTCTCCTAACAATTACTCCTAAACCATTTATGAAATTTGATTTTTTTTCAATAGTATCGACTTAATTTTATCACTTCCAACGATTTGTTGCTGAATTTATGAAAAAAGAACTGCAAGAATGTTAAGGATAATTAAAAAAACATTGGAATTTCATGAACAATCCAATAGTATTTTTCTAAAGACTGAAAATGTACGCAATTCAGAAGAAAAAGCATATTGAAATTTCGCGATTCAATTCGAATTCAAGTGAATTCGGAAATTGATATTAAAATGGGGTTTTTCAACGACAAAATTTCCTGCAATTTCAGCAAAAAATGTCATCCGTTAAAAACTAAGAAAAAAAATCAACCTTGTGAATAAAACATTAACCATAATTCATAAATAAAAGTGTACTATTTGAATAAAAGATAGCGGCCAGTCCGAGTTTAAAATAAAAAACGAAAAAAAGACGAAAAAAAATCCCTCTCCCTGGATCACGTGGAATGTGGGGCAGAGTTAATGAGACTTCCACTTGGTATTACTTAACAGGTCGTTGAAATTAGTGAAAGAGTAATAAGGTAAAGGAGAATTAGCGGAGAACAACGGGATTTTGCCTTTCCCAATTCTCCCGTGGCTCGGTTCACTCGCGAATAAGTAGAGAATTCCCTTCGTTATTTTTCTTGAAGCTCTTCCCATCTATTTATAGGGTATGGGGTCTATTCAATGGGGCTTACACTGTGTTACTTAACAGGTCATTGAGATCGGGACGAATGACGGAACAATGAAAACACAGGGGAAAAAGAAATGGAACAGCTTTTCCTCCGGTTAGTTTTTTTTTTCCGGTCCGGATGTTAGGTCAATTCAGGGAGTGGGAGGGGGTTGAGTGTCATCTTGTTCCAGGTACGATGTCTGCATTATTGCGGATGGAGTGGTGCTTGTCTCGTTCACATGGGACGTGAGAAATAAATCACATTCCACTTTATTCGCAATATAATGCGGAATTAACATCATCACGTGCACTTCAATCCAATTAACCTTTTTTTATTTATTTCGTTTATCGTTGAATCGGTTTCCGGACATTTATGTGAGTAGCTGGACAGTTTCGAGGATCATTTCAGCGCATTCAATCACAGGATTTATTGTTGGATATCGCATCATTCAATTTAGCGACTCATTAGTTCTACAGAAAATCCTAAATTGAAAAAAAAGTGAAATTATTGTAGAGAGCTTTATTCATGGAACAAAGCAAAATCTTTTTGAATGCAAAAATACACTATTGAAAATTTCCGTTTGTATTTTTCAATTGAAATTCCTCAAAATTTACTGAAATTTAACGACAAATAAACTAATGTTTTACATAAAAACCTGAACATTTGTATTGAATTTTTCTATAAATCTAGTTTCAGGTACAATGCCTGCATTATTGCAGCTGGAGTGGTGCTTCTCTCGTTGATATGGGACGTGAGAAATAAATCACATTTCGCTTTATTCGCAATATAATGCGGAATTAACATCATCACGTGCACTTCAATCCAATTAAACTTTTTTTATTTATTTCGTTTATCGTTGAATCGGTTTCCGGACATTTATGTGAGTAGCTGGACAGTTTCGAGGATCATTTCAGCGCATTCAATCACAGGATTTATTGTTGGATATTGCATCATTCAATTTAGCGACTCATTAGTTCTACAGAAAATCCTAAATTGAAAAAAAAGTGAAATTATTGTAGAGAGCTTTATTCATGGAACAAAGCAAAATCTTTTTGAATGCAAAAATACACTATTGAAAATTTCCGTTTGTATTTTTCAATTGAAAATCCTCAAAATTTACTGAAATTTAACGACAAATAAACTAATGTTTTACATAAAAACCTGAACATTTGTATTGAATTTTTCAATAAATCTAGTTCCAGGTACAATGCCTGCATTATTGCAGCTGGAGTGGTGCTTCTCTCGTTGATATGGGACGTGAGAAATAAATCACATTTCGCTTTATTCGCAATATAATGCGGAATTAACATCATCACGTGCACTTCAATCCAATTAAACTTTTTTTATTTATTTCGTTTATCGTTGAATCGGTTTCCGGACATTTATGTGAGTAGCTGGACAGTTTCGAGGATCATTTCAGCGCATTCAATCACAGGATTTATTGTTGGATATTGCATCATTCAATTTAGCGACTCATTAGTTCTACAGAAAATCCTAAATTGAAAAAAAAGTGAAATTATTGTAGAGAGCTTTATTCATGGAACAAAGCAAAATCTTTTTGAATGCAAAAATACACTATTGAAAATTTCCGTTTGTATTTTTCAATTGAAAATCCTCAAAATTTACTGAAATTTAACGACAAATAAACTAATGTTTTACATAAAAACCTGAACATTTGTATTGAATTTTTCAATAAATCTAGTTCCAGGTACAATGCCTGCATTATTGTAGCTGCAGTGGTGCTTCTCTCGTTGATATGGGACGTGAGAAATAAATCACATTTCGCTTTATTCGCAATATAATGCGGAATTAACATCATCACGTGCACTTTAATCCAATTAAACTTTTTTCATTACTTCGTTTATCGCTGAACCTTTTTCCGGACAATTTCGAGGGGCATTTCTGTGCATTCAATCACAGGATTTATTGTTGGATATCGCGTTATTCTATTTAGCGATTGAGTGCTCGAATTAAAAGCTTCATTAATTGTACTGAAAAACCGAAATGAAAAAAAAAATGATATTATCATAGAGAACTTTTTTCACGGAACAATGGAAAATCTACACGTGAGACTATTATAAAAATGTCGTTATTCCTTTTAAATTCAGAAATATTTTTGAGAAATTCAACCTGAAATTTTTTTTTATATTTTTCAATCGAAAATCCTTGAAACCCACTAGATATCGATTAATATTTTTCATGAAAACGAAACATTTTATTCCCCACGAATGATATTCCCCATTGTCATACAAAAATACTAGTCTCCTCTAACATATTCAGTCAGTTCAGAAAAAATCCCTAATATCTGAAACATATTTACCTGAGATAAGTTATTTGCCGGACAGGTGGCCCGAGTAAGGTATTATTATTACTAAATTTATTATTTTCATGATTTTTTTACGCACTTCCAATCTTTTGATACATAATATTCTTTGGGTTCCGTGAAACAAAATCACTCCGAGATTTACGTCATGGAAGACAATTACTTCTCCCAAATAAATATGTTCTAGATATAAGAACATTTTTCTCTCGGTGCACGCTTTGAATGTTGAGAAGTCTTAATTGCAACTTTCAGTAGAAAAGCTGAGTTTGTTCATCCCCTTCCACAACTCCACTCGCGCAGTTATTCAGAATCAATAACTTCAGAAGTTCTGTCCTTTCAGATTCAGAATATGATCATTTTGTCACAACGAATGTCCTAAAACTGGGTCTTCTACGTCAATTATTTTCGACCCTAGTTTCCAAAAGTGAAATACATACCTTGACTTTTTTTATCAATAATATCAGGTTTCTAACTTCTAATTTCTCCAGTTTATCTATCCACACTGAGAACAAAATTCCCAATATCTGAAAAATATTTACTTCAGACGAGTTATTTGCCGGACAGGTGTCCCGACTAAGGTCTCTATTTATTATTTTCATGTTTTTTTTACGCACTTCCAATCTTTCAATATCTAATATTATTTGGGTTCCGTGAAGCGAAATCACTCCGAGATTTACGCCATTGACGATAATTTACACGGAGAGAAATTTTCTAGAAAAATTCTAGTACGAGAACTGGAAAAAATTACAATCCACCGGCTGCGAAAAATTCTAGTGCTGTTAAGGTAAAATTTCTTAGTATTTCTGGTAAAATTTCAAGGGATTTCTGTGAAATTTTCACAGAACTACTGAGAACAATTCACGTTTTCCCCAATAAAATTTCTAGTGACGGCACTGAAATGTTTTCCTGGCCGTCACTTTGCGTCTCTTTTCCCGTGCTAGCACTAGAGTTTTTCTAAAAAATTTCTCTCCGGGTACTTCTCTCAAATAAATGTCCTCCACATAAGACAAATTTTTCTCTCAGCACACGCTTGGAATATTGAGAGGTCTTAATTGCAACTTTCAGTAGAAAAGTTGAGTTTGTTCATCCCCTTTCACAACTCCACTCGCGAAGTTATTCAGAATCAATAAATTCAGAAGTTCTGTTCTTTCAGATGATAATTTTGTCACAATGAATGTCCATTCACTAGTTTTAAAATTAGGCACAGATGTCCGAAATCTGGGTCTTCTACAAAAATTATTTTCGACCGTAGTTTCCAAAAGTGAAATACATACTTTAACTTTTTTATCAATAATATCAGGTCTCTCCAGAAGACTGGTGGTTGGGTACAGCATGGTTGGTTGCGCCTCAGGATCAAATGTCACATGCTGATTATTGTGGTGGCCACCGGCCATGCCGCGGTGATAACCACCGGGCGTTGGACTACCCATCCCCGATACCCTCGTTGTCATGGTGAGATGCGTGACGACACCTTCACCCGCGAGACTCTCCTCATCTTCACCCGCGCTCTCTGCAAAAATGAAAAAAATACTGGATAGAGAAGTGAATGAATTGAGGATTGAACGATCTGCCTGCGTTTGACATTTAATTTCCTCGCAAACGAATGAATGGGCGTGATTGGATCTTGCGAAGCTGAAGGCATGGCGCGGCGGACGTTTACTTTTATTACTTTGATTACTCAATGTCAAGGATAATTTCACGGAATTTATCTCTTTCTTTCAGATTTTTCTGCGAATTTGAGGTGGACAAACAAAGTGGAATGGGTTTTGATTAAGGACTTGTTTACACAGAGATAAACAAATTATGAAAATTCAGGGAAAATTTTTGTATTTGGGAATCCCTTCCCAAAAAAATTATCACTTTTTTCCCAAGTTTTAAGGGAATTTCAATTGTGAAAAATCAATAAAATACAATAATAAGCAGATGATTAAAAATTTCTAGCTGTTTGCTCATCGTTTCATCAAAAAAATCACCTTGAAATGAGAAAAAAGTCTAGGTTCTAGAAAAATATTGCATGTATATAAGAAACTCTACAATTGAATAAAAAAAAACTCTACAATGTTATAAATCATTAGGTGAAATTTCCGGCTCACGTTTTGGAAATTTATCTCACACTTCAGTTCCACTGTAATTTAAAGAAGTTCCGGCACTAAAAATTCAAAACTGTATGGAAAAATCAATGAAAACTGTAGATTTCAGTTCGATTACTCCACGAAAATGACAAAAAATCGTAAAAAGTCAAGTGGAGGTTTTCTTGAATTTTAAATTAATTGAAAATTGAGAGTAATTAGGTAGTTAATGCCCATGTGTTGATTGACAATGCAAATAAGACGGAAATTCCACAATGTCCATGGATTTTCAAGTGAAAATGAATATTCACTGCCAAATTCCCTTGAATTTTCAAGAAATTCCTCTAAAATTCTTGGAATTCCCCAAATATTAAATTCAAAAAGAGATTTCTCCGAGCTATCCAGATTATTCATTAATTTTTCCGGAATAATTAAACTAAAATTTACAGTTCCCACGGATTGTTCCATGAAATTATGAATTTTCAATGGCAAAATTCCTTAAAATTCCACTGAAAAATTTTCAAAAGTGCATGCAAATTCCCCATTATCCATCTTCATCCGCATTTTTCCACACCATTCTCCACCATGCACCACTTCCCCAAACTATGCATTTATTAAACAATAAATTAGATGTTTTAGAATGAAATATGTAACGAGTAAGTGCCTATTCAGTGCAATAAACGTCGATCAAAGAAGTTTCTCGTGTGCGGTGAATCGGAAAGCCCCTACCCTGCCACCAGGACATCTCGAGTAAGACCTCCATCCGGTCTCGTTTCCCAGGGTTGATGGATCGACGAGAACACTCCCCACCGATTGTCTCCCGCAAACACGCGATCACGCGCTCCCTTCTCAAACGAGCCCCAACGACCCTCTTCTTACCTTCCACCTCGTTGGTACGTGTGTAACTGGCTTAGATACAATACCGGGCGCATGCGGTTATCCACGAGGGGGGAAAAAAATATATGGATCGAGGATCGATGTTTAAAGTTGACTGCAACGACCTATTCATATGGGGTCATTGTGCCAAAGTCGCGTTGCATGTCTGACCCGCAACCGGGGAAATGAACCGTCGTTACGATCGATAAGTGCAACACCTACTTACTGGATTTGTTTAGAATCTTTAACTCTGAAAATCGAGGGTTCCTATGAAAATAACAGCAGGGGACATCAACAGTAGTGGAATCACTTTTTTTACTCAATTTCGTTGCGCTTGGCCCCTCCAATTGAGGGATTCACGTGAAACGACAGTCTGGCATGTCATTTAAATTCATTTTCTCCTCATTTAAAATTCAATCTCAACACACATGCATTTTACATATTCCGAAAATTTGTGGGTGAATATTTATGAGGGTTGTTCAACATATTTATTTTTATTCTGGGTAAAATCGAGGGGAAAATTCTGTAGTAGAGGTTGAAGGAGTTTTAGAAGTGATAGACAGGATTAGGTATTGTTAACGAGTGGATTTGGTTGGAGGATAGGGGCTATGCGGCCTCACCAAATGTTCATTCGTTAATTGTTAACAGATTCACCTTTCAAGTGAATCATTCGTTAATTATTGACGAATCTCGTTTGGAATGAATGAATCATTCTATCAGTGTGGATGTATTTAATTGTGGAATCTCAAAGGGTCATCTGATATACGAGAAAAAACATTTTTATTTCCTGGGATATATCACTGATTTTCACAAGTCCAGCGCCAATTATTGGTGATATTTTTTTGGTGATTATTCTTTGTAAGTTAGTTAAAAGATTATTACAATAGAACAGATAATCAAAATATCTCGGTTAATCATTTATTGTAATTTTGCGGTTTTGCTTGCACTGATATGTCCGGATGAGTTTTGGACGAGGAATAAAATTTGGAACACTGAATTTTGGCAATTTTTGGAATTATTTCCGAATTTAAAGTTTTAGGACTTCTATTTATTTGATTAATGAGAGTAATTCGTAGAATGGAAGTAATGATTGCAACTGGCTAAGGAGTTGGAGTTTTTGGTTCAAATATTTACAGTGAGAAAAATTTTCAAGAAAAAATCATGTGCTGGGACCAGAAAAATTATTGGAGTCTCCAAAATTTCTCTCCGTGGAGATGTTAATTTTTTTAATTGATTAAAAATCCAACTAGGTTGAAAAATCCTCGTTATCTCCGGTTTAAAAATTCGTAACTCCACTGAATTCTCAGTAAAATTTGAAATTTCATTTTTTCCTCCTGAATCAAATTCCATCTAATTCTTCTAAAAATAACTTATAAACTGTCTACAAAATTTGATTTTTCCTCGACCAGTGTTGCATCAAGTGAATACGTCTTAATTTTTACAAAATTATTCATTTCATGTGCCTAATAACGTGACTAAAAAAACATGAAAATTAATCGTTTGAATGAACCCATTTACGCATCAAAATAAACTCAAGTAAATTAATTTCCGTATAAATATCTCAGCCAAAGGATTCATTCACCATTCACGAAAAACTCCACCAAAAATAGCCCATTCAATTATTTATCTTGCAGACCGTGTGATATCAATTACGATCAATAAGCGATAAAGCAACGTGAGCACGATAGATAATTCAAGCCGCACACACAGTGACACGGTACAAAGCTTTAGTCGAGGCATGTATCGAGGATATAGCACCCTCCGCATTAAAGCCAAAGCCCTTCGTAAATACATCAGGCAAATGAGGCTCGGGGGTTTGTTGACCCCCTCCAGGTATCCCCTGGTATTTTACCTGCACACCTGTTGCGCGAATGTGTTATTCTGCCGCTTGTCTTCGCCATTACTCGGGCTGAAGCAGCATTTTATTGCGAAGTGTATCGGACTGTTTGGCGTGGGGCGCTTATTGACGAGTCGGGGGGTGTGAAACACGCTAACCAGGGAGAGCAACGTGACGGTGTTTGGGCGACAACGGGAATTAACTTCGCGTGTCCGAATGGTACACGAAATGAATCGATTGGTTTCTCCGGGTCACTGAGTGCACTTTGGGGGATCTCCTGCGTCGTGAGCCTCTTCATTAGGGGAACCACGCAGCACCCGTGATAACGTGACTTTCATATCGAGGGGTTGATTAGGAACGGATAATTGGGCGACGGTAACCCCCCGGAATGGAATTTTTATTCAAGCAATGAATTCATTTGAATTCATTTTCATGTGATTTGGTGAATCGCTGGGAACTGATGGAAAATTTCACCCGAAATAAAATTTCTTGATATATTCAGTAATTAATTAATAATGTAATAATTTAATCATTTAATAAATCGTCAATTATTAATTATTAATTGATTATTCATATTAATATATATTGATATATTGATATTAATTGATTATTAATTTCATGATTTTGTTGTCAAATGAATAAAATTTAAGAATAAATTGAGGGAAAATTATTTGTAATGAGCAAGTAAGAAATTTTTGCGTTCAAATGTCTCTAGAATTTTAATTTTTCCCTAATAATTCATCTCCAATTTTCCATCAATGTAATAACGAATTTTACTCTCATGTTCGGAAACCAGAGATAGGATTGAACTAATTTATTCCACAAATTATCACGTGGAGTATTCTCCTCTCCCCGAAGATATGAAGTTATTTTTTCCATGTCAGAATTAATCCAGGCAAATCCGGCTTTCGAAAAATGCTTTTCACTGAAAAGTTTTTCTCTCGCCAAGCTGAATAAAATGTGACCCAGTTCAACACTCTCGTCCAGTTCATTCGCAAAAATTGTTAATTATTTTTTCCAGTGAACTTTTTCAATTCACGGATATCAGCGCTTACGATCTTTCGAGGTACGTGAAAACTTGTGAAATATTCCGCACGAAAAAAAGATGAAATGTTACTGTGCAAGGTAGGTAATTTGAGAGCAATATTGTATTTTAGGAATTGTTATTTGAAATTAGAATGAATGTGAGGTGAAGGCTGAATTTTCATCTTTAAAGCGTGATATTTTGCAAAGAAACGGGGAAATTTGTGAATTGTTGAATTCAATGGTACTCTCTTGCGCTGGTAAAATGTATTGGCTGACATTTCCAGCAAACTTCTTGAAGGTTTTTATCACATCATAGTTCCATTGAAATTTCAAGGAATTTCACCACTGAAAATTCAACATTTTAAAGAAAAATCGATGAAAACTGTTAATTTCAGTGCAATCATCTCATGAAAATTACTAGAAAATTCATATGAATGTATTCACTGGGAAAGTCAGTCTCCTACTGCTCAAAAATTGGGAATTGCAATGGATATTCATTAAAATCTGAAATCTTCCATTATTTTTTTCCACCTAATTGTAATCTCTCCCCTAAAAATTACTAGTGCATTCTCCATAACTTTCAATTTTTTTTCCAACACAATGCTTACTGTCAAAATTTTTTGGCTGGGATTCCCGATACATTTTTCACAAATTTTATCACATTTATTTCCACTGACATTTCCATGAATTTCATCATTGAAA